GTTTTTTTCATGTTTTCAAAATCTTCCATGGACAAACCTTGTCCACGGAAGACTTGAAGATTTGTTGGCATGTTTCCTTGTTGTTCAGAATGTAATTTTGTAATATGTTGATGTAAATGACGGATGAAGAAACCCATCTTCAGAATAATATCGACATCCATTTGTCGAAGACCACGATTGAGCATTGGATAAATAAATGTCTCTGCCGTATACCACCATATTGGTGTATGATCACGATATTCATTTTCGACCTTCCTAATTTGACCTTCATCAATATCATCTTGCAGACGACAGTATTCTACGAGATCTTTAATCGATTTGACATCGTCATCTTCGATTTCCAAAAGCGCTTCTTTTAAAAGTTGTGTATACATAAATAACGCATCACGTCCGTTAAAGCTGATCGGGATCATAGCTTGATCACATCGTTGTCGATCGATTTCAAGTGCTTGACAAATTGGTTCTATTTTTGTGTAGACACCCTTAACCTTGCTTATTTTTTTAGCCCATTGTTCATGAACCGATTGGTTACCACAAAACACATAAATTGCTTCCAGTTGTGGCAATGCTTCGATTTCTGGTACTATTTGACGACCCAAGGAACCTGATACGATCATAAATACCTTTTCTTTTTTGATTTCATTTAGGAAATTAACACATTGTTGGGCATCCGTAAACGTTGTGATGGATGCCACAAGTTTTCGAAGATGTTGCAATGAATTCGTAAAATCGTTATCTGATTCTTGCAAATTGGCATCGAGCCATACCAAAAGGAAATTTTGAAGAATCCGACGAGCAGTTTGAGGAAGTACTGCATTTCTGCTTGTCGTTGTTGTTGGTAGTGATGCTGCTGCTGTTGTTGATGATGATTTTTTTGATTTATTTATTGTGGAAGGAGAAGATGATCCACTAGCAGTTGATTCTGAATATTGCTTTTTGTCCATTTGGATGATTTTGATGATGATAATGACGTTGTGTTTTTCGTAAATGATTTTTTTCAATAGTTTTTTTTTCTTTTTTCGTGTTGACACTTTTTATTTTTTGGTTTGTTATTTTTGTTGCTATAGAAGACTTGAAGGATTTCTTTGCCCAATTTTTTGTTTGTTCGTTCGTTTTCTTTTTATTTCAAGAGTTTTTTTTTATTGACAAAACGACAGTGACGAAACATGTGTCACCAATAACTGAATAATTGTATTATCGATCAATTGCGCATGATTTGTAGGAATGAAAAAACAAAAAGTTACAAATAGAATTTCAAAATAAGTCGCTATATTGTTTGTTTTCATTGTTTTTCTTTTTCTTTACTCCTGTCTGGAATCATTAGAAAATTCTCTTATTTTGTCTACGTTTCTATGTGCAAGACATCTTAAATCAATAAAATAAGTGTCTTATCAAAAAAAGAAAAAAAGAACGAAAAAAAAAAGAATTCATTTGTGTAGTTAGAGTAAAAATGTTGAAAACATAATTATTTTCTATGACTAAAATATCTTTTCTTGAAAATACAACAGAAGTTCATTTAGTTGTTGATTTGGTTGTTATACGCAAGTCATTATGTTTTCTTTTGAAGTTTGCATCATCATCTCAACAAATCAGAGAAGAAGAAAAATAAAAATATAATAAAATGAATCAATGTTATTTGCATTGTTGCCAAGGTTTTTTCCAACATAGGTAGGAAGAATGAGTATCGAAATAATGCCACGTGTATATGTGAGCATGAGTTTGAGTCTGTTTGTCCTTCATAATCACACTTCATATTCAATAGATATTATTCTAACAGATTTTCACTAAGAACAAATGTATTTTATTTATGATAGGAGAAATGAATTAAAAGACACGATTTGCTTCTAATAATATTTAATTATATATGATAAAGCATTTATAGAATTAAGATGGTTGCTCATATGTTATAATATACTACGACACGAAAACAACAAAACTATATATCTACAATACATACAACGATTGCAAGTAAAATTCAAAATATACACAGGGACACTGGATTTACACGAGTAAAATATAAAGATACATCTATATAAATATTGTTATTCTTATATCCCTTCTCTTGTTTAACTAGTGTCTGTTTGTTTGGATTCTAATTTGACATACAACACTTTAAATGAAATATATGGTCATTTTTACATTTCTTTTTTTTTCTCTTAATGTACATATTATAGATAAAAAAAAAGACAAATCAACGATTAATTTATATTCATTGATTTATAATATTCTATTAGAAGTAAGTTAATATTTCTTCAATGTATTTAATAAACAAAATATTGACTTCGACTTTTGTACCATTCCCAAAAAAAGTTTCTTTATTGTGTTATTAATTTGATTCGTAGATCATATATGACTATGAAATGTACCTCAAGATAAAATTTCTATGCTTTAGATATTTTTGAAATCTTCGAACTGATGAATCGATTTTGATTCGTGACGAATAGCATTATGTAATGTGCATACTCTGAGTTTCGTTTTCCGAAATAGGTTTTTTGCTAATGTTTCAAAATTTGTTGCTAGTTTTCTCTTAAAAGATGTAGGTATAGTAATAGTTTGGCTTTTACATCATTCGTACAAATTGATAGATCTGATGTTCGTTCTTGGAATTTTGATGATAAATGACTCTTGCTAAAATCTGTCTCTACGGCAAGACGTCAAGTCAAAATTCAAAAATCAATTTTTTTGTTATTAGAACTTTCCTCATGAGTAAAATAATCATGAACTTCATTAGATATTCGATAGTTCAAATAAAAAAATCTCATAAGATGGAGTGTGGTTGATCGAAGAAGAAGAAATCACAGCCATAGGCAAATCCACACCCAAAGTACACAGGTATAAATCAATTCTAGAACAATTAAAGACAAGTATATATATATATTAGTTTTATATTTTTGAAAGTATGAAATTACAATGAGTTTTTAGTTGATTTCCACATCAAATCTTTTTCGAATCGATTCAATACAGATTGAAGAATTGGATTGCGTTTTTTCCTACTTAAATTTTTCTAAATATATTATTATGATGTAGAGATGAACGAGGAAATCTAATTAAGAAATGACTGAATCACAGCAACATTTAATATCATATAAGTCATTTGAGATCATATTCGATGAATTTAATTTATGACACAGTCGACATACTTTCAATTAAATATTTTGATACGTCAATAGATTCTTTATTAGAATTTTTCATTCGTTAAAGAATTAATTTTGGAATAATATGATAAGTTATGATTAAAAAAGCAAAATAAGCAAAGAGGAAATATTTTTGTTTTTTTACTTGTAATATTATCATTACTATTAATCTCTTTATGCATTTGTTTGTCGACTTTCATCAACACCATTGAGTAGAGAATAAATACATCAAAACTATGAGAATCATTACAGATTTTGGCCAAATATGTACAAAAGTGTTCATTATTATTTACTTCTGAACAAGTACGCCAATCTGAATAGAATTTTCACTACCGAAAAAAAAAAGAAATATGTCTGTCATAGTAACAAACGTTACACCATAGAAAGAAAAAAAATTTTCGTTTTCATTAAATAAATAAAGACATCATACGTCATTATTTTATTTTTCATCAGATACTTTTCTTATTAATAATATACAATAATAAGACAAAAAAAAATGAGACAAAAATGTAAGAAATAAAATATTAAACCAAGTCATGACGGTGACTATAGCAGAGAGCGTGGCTCTATATGGGAGGATGTCAATAAATGAAGTACTTGGACCCACACCCGCCCACACCAGCGCAAAATAATGTCTTTAGATTTACTTTAAGTATTTACAAGATCGAAACATGTCCCTATTGAACGTGTAGCAAAGACTATATTTTAGTTATAAGAATTTTGGTTGATGACGAGGTTTTCACTTTATACAGTCTTATTTTATAAAGATGTAATCTAGCGCCATCCATTAATAAAAAGAACAGAAATGTCAATGGTGTTTACGAATATTCAATCGATGTTAGTCTTTTTCAGTCGACTATTCATTCATTCATTATGATTATCAAATAATGTTTAAACTTAGTCATTTATCTATTTGGTTTTAAAATAAATGAATTGAATATAAATTAAACAAAATGGATAAACTAAGTAAATCACTTGAAGTTTTAAGGTTACTTTCAACAACAACATCAGAAACATTAATAATCAAGTAAAATTTGATTTTTCTGGTTTTCATCTCTGCTCGAATGTTCTTCTCATTTAGAGGTAACAATGAAAATTATTTTAAATTAATTAAAGCTAGTGTGGAAACATTATTTACAACATGTGATGAAAATAATTACAATGTACGATTGACTGCCGAAGAAAATCTTAATAAATTTGTTACAGTATTATAAAAGAAATTCTTTTTTTCTGTATAATTTTGTATGAATTATAAAATAGAATTTAAAAGAAGCAGATTTAACAAGAATTCAAGTTGAATTATATCGAATTATAAAACATAATCCTAATGTTGGACCAAATGCTTTAAAAGGTTATTTTTATTATTTGACTTAAATTTATAATAAGGATTTTTTTTAATTATGATTAGGTGTTCTGTGGTGATTTGCCGAATTAGCAAATGTAATACATCCGAAAAAGATTCAATCATTTTATCAGAATATTATGAACTTATTTTTCGTAGTCTTGGTCGACCGATTAATGATAAAGAAATTAAAGTAAGTAAAACAAAAATCTTTGTCATCTAAGACAAATTTTTTTAAAGAAGGAGTCAGAAAAATGTCATACGGTTGAATAGAAACATAGAAAAGAATTGCTCTACCATGTTTCGGTTAAAACTTCTAGCAGGAGAGGATGTTTTTCAGAAAATGTAGAATAGGTAGTCTGATACTATTTGACGAAATACGAACTGAGAAACTGTCTATCATTTGAAGCGATCCGTCCTCGAAAGTAATCGAGCGTAGAGTTTCATGCAACTTAAGAATGGTTTAGTCATAGGAGTTCACTGGCTATCGTGATAGTTAAAGTATGAAGTTGAGTGAGAATGAATTTTTCTTTTCCTAATATTAACAATAAATAATTTTCTTTTGAAATATATAATCAATGACTAAATTATTCTTAGAAACTTCTTATGGCCTAGTCAGCAAATGTGTTATCCTATGGTTATAGCACGTTTTGTAATGGCAAATGTAATTGGTAAGTTTTCTTTCAAATAATAATTTCAATTCATTATAATTATCTTTTATTTTAATAGATCAATTATTTGAACATCAAAATCAAAATGCTAGTACACATTTAATAATTGATTATCTCGATTTAATAAAATAATTATTCAATTACTTCGTTATTCAAATTTATTTGTTTTGATCAATTATTAATTTCAATTCAAATTGGATCTATAGAAAAAACTTGTGTTAGTCAAGCATTACAAACAGGTAAATATTGAGAAAGAAACGAGTTTTTTTATTTGGGTTTTTTTTTCTAAAACAATAGCTTATTCAACATATCAATGTTGTTTTATTGAAATGAATGATAAATTCGATTCAACATCAATGATTAATAATGAAAAACGAACGATAAGCTGCTAAACTTGTTAATCAATTATATTTTTTTCAATTAGATATATACTCAATATGGATGGTACGATAAAAAGTGATGATGAATCATGTATTAGTGTTAAATGTGCTATACCAATATGTCTATCGTATTTATCAACAATTTGGTCGATTTGATTACCTTATTGAAAGTATGTTTAATGCTTGTTTGAGGCTTCTTTTTGTAAAGTTTCACTTCAGTAAAATAGATTTATTTTATAATCCAAAATTATTTCTAGTATTGTAACAGTAGGAGGGCCTAGATGAAGGGGATTGTGGCAGAGTTTAGTTGACGTGGCTTCAATTGGTTAAAGTCTCAAAGTTTTAGTGAAAGTTATCTGATAGATATGACAATTTCACTATTAAATTGTTGAAACATATATATATATTGGAATCTGAAAATTCAAGAAGGTAGATTTCTGAATATTGATTCAGCAACTCTAGTCCTATTCCTATTTTTAATTTTTTTGGAATCAACAAAAGACTAGAACATTATCAGACTCGAAAAGATGTCAAGTAGAACATTTTATTGAAGCTCAAAGCCTGCATTTATACATCAGAGATTGAAATTATACAATCACACAATTACCTCAAAAAATAGTTCTAAACTGACGTTCGGGATATGAAATCAATTGTATCCTCTAAGAAGTTTTTCTTTAGTCTTTGAAGATTTCTGATTAAATAAAAATTTTGTAATTGATATGAAATTTCCTAATGAGAAAAATGAAATTCTCATCTCTATATGACTTGAAATACATTAAAATTTATGGAACATCAAGGTATCTTTTTTTTCTTTTCTTTAAGATATTACATATCTTTTATCTTTATGTGAACACGGTGATCTACATTTACGTGGTGCATGTGCAAATTTACTTGTTACATTAATTCAAACAACAAATCATCTTTTAACACTATCATCATTATCAAATTCATTTAATAATTCTTTTATTAATTAATGTTCACTTATATCAACTGATTCACAAGACAGTTCAAGGTTATATGTCTTAATGATAATAATACACGTGTTATACATGTTTCCCTAAATGCTTTACGAACATTATTACCTTTTTTTTATTAATTAATAGTGATGCATTTACAATCATAGGAATTGAATTATTAGAAGATTCTATTCAACATACTACAAGTTCCTGTATTCTTGCTAAAGTAGATAAAAGAAATTTATGATTATAATAATTATTTTTTTGCATGTATATAAAATAGGTTAGTCTAGCTCAATTTATAGATGATATTGATTTTCGAATATTAACTTATCTTGAACAACAACAAAAACAATTAAAACAATATATCCTGATATACGTGTTCGTCAAGCAACTGCTTCGACTTTTGCTAAGTATGTATTTTGTAGAGATATTAACTAGGTAGTTTTTTTTCGAATTTGAATGAATAAGTCGATTTTATTACATTAAGTTAGTTATTAGCTACTTTTTGATTTTAAGGTTTTGTTGATCACAATTCATTTT